TACTCAATAAGAATTAGAATGGCCACCTAAAAAATGGATTTGTTGTTTGATCAGCCCAAAATTGTCTGACAATTAATAATCTTAAGAAGACCTACTAGGTTTCTTTAGTCCTAATGAAGGTTAGGATAACCTAAATGGAGCACAAGGTCTAGCATTTGGCCTAAAATTAATAAAAACAGGGTTATACATGATTTAAAACCAACTAGTCTAGTGTCTGTCTTTGAACCAAGGTCAAGATATCCACATGGTCATATGCCACATGAAGGTTGGGGTGATAATTAAGTCCTTTAAAAGGGGCTAAGGTCCTAATTAGAATAATCCTAGAGCTAAGGTGATTGAGAGATTGAGTCTCCATCATTTATGTGTGTCTAAAAGTAGAGTCTAAACTAAGGGACCTTCGAGGGTAGAAGAAGAGCTCTATAGTTGTCCTCCCTCTGCCCAATTCAATGTTCTATGTCATTTGCCCAATCACAATGTTGACATGTATATGATACTATCCACAACAACTCTGCTTCCTTGTGAATACAACCAATGGTCGACTGACACACCTAATAACAAGCCCCCTCTCTTCACATGATAACTCCCCAATGCCACCCGCTACCTCGCTTACTCTCTCCCGCACATACTCCCCCCTTGCACGCATCTTTACTGTTTCCTATGTTGTAAGTGTTCTACATTGATGTTACACCAAGAGGTCAGCATTCAGTCAATTCAGATGGATTTGTTTTAAAATTGATCAAACCTATTATAACCGAAATCCATAATCCAAAAAACTAAAGCAATCTAAATTCTGATAAAACCGAACCGACTGAATCGAAGTTTGATTCAGTTTAAACGGTTCAGTAATGAAATTTTGAAATTTAATTGTTTATTAAAATTTGGCTAAGAATAAGCATTACAAATTTCATAACTTATTCGCATAATATAGATTTACTTTCATGAACCCTCTATTTATTTCAATCAAACATTAAAAATAGTAAAAATTCTAATTTTCTTAGTTTATTTGATATTAAATTAAAATATAATAATTTTTTTTAATAAAATATTGATTTTTCAGTTTGTTCGTTTAATAAAAATAAAATCAATCCAAAAACTGAAACCAAATTTCGAAATTTTAAAAACTAAAAAACCAAAATCAAAATTTAAAACCAAACCGAACCAACCAAACTTGATCGGTTCGGTTAGATTTTTCAGTTTTGACCAAATAATGCACACCCCTAGTTGCACCGCCAATTCACTTGTCTACTCAACATAGCCTGCAAGGTCATTACACGGCTTGCTTGCACAAACCCTACTTTACATGCAAAACACATGTCAAGTTACCATCTTCAACATGTGTCAAGGATTTTGGATAATGGATTATGCATCCTACCTTATTTTACTAAAGCATTTTGGTCTTATAGTAGATTTCCCCACCATTTTGCTCATCTCTATATGTTCTTCACTCTTCCTCGAGTTAGCAAGGATCTAGAATGACCCACAAACAAAACATGACTCCACAAAATTAAGTTTTAGATTGTATTGGAGATTCTATCGACCTATTAATAGCAATTTATTTGCACGAACTTCAATGTTGATCATAGAAGGTATTCAAGAAGGGGGACACATTCCCTCCTTCATTTGATGGCTCATTGGTTCAATTTGTAAAATTATTAGAAATGTTCACTAGTAAAAATATCAACTGCAGCTGCATAATTTGAAGGATATAAATTTTTTAGTGGGTATATTGTTGTGTACCCCTCTCTGTGATTCTCCCCTTCAGGTGCTATTACTCAAGAAAAATTTTTCACCCTTTTGAATTTTGTAGAAACAAAAATTCACTCAAATTTTTTATTTTGTTGTAATTCCTAAAAGTTTTTATGACATTTAAAAGTATTGGTAGCTTGCAAGGCTGGAAGTTTCAGTATCAAGACTTATGTACAACTTTCATTTTCATCTCCTATTTCATTCTCACATGCATGCGTGTCAACCAAAAGCCAAGCCTTATTGTAGAAGATTTTGAAGAAATTTTGTGAAGTTACCTTTTTTGGCTTCGATATACTACAAGTATTTCAAACCCATAACTACATATATTTTACTTTATCCTCAAAAGATGGAAGCCATTGTGGATTGGTCAAGGCTCAAAAAAAAGCTTTCAAATGAGTTTTCCCATATTAATTGTGCACAGAAGATGTGTCCAAGCATTCTCACAAAGGCCATAACTATTATATTAACTACTTCATAAAGTAGTGAATTTCCATTGGGCTCAAGTATTTGAAGAGTTCATTGAAGGAATAGTTCAATATTAATTTTGACACTACCTATTTGCTTTAGTTATGGATGTTCTTAGCGGACATTTACAGAACGATGTACCTTGACATATGCTTTTCGTTGATGATATCCTTCTTGTGATAAGACAAGAGAGAGCTCAAGAAAACTTGATTTATGGAGATCGACTTTAGAATCTAAAGGCTTTCGTTTGAGTAAAATTATAACTGAATATATGAAATATCATTTTGGTAGCAGTAGTGGGGTTATAATAGTTGGCGATCTAGTCATTTAAAGGAGTGAATGTTTTACATATATTGGGTCTCTTGTTCAAAGTGATGGAATAAAGGCGAGGATGTTATTAGTAGAATTCAAATTGGATGGTTGAAATGGAGGAATGAACCGGTCTATTGTGTGATAGAAAAGTAATGCTTAACGAAATTTTTATAATATGGTGGTGAGATTTGCAATACTTTATGGTGCAAAATGTTGGCCTATAAAAGAGAAGCATAAAATTAAGTATTGTTGAGAAGAGAAAGCTCGGGACTTGGGAGGATGAGTGGCTTTACACTTAGAACAAAAAATGAAACGAATATATTCGTGAAAGAATCGGAGTAGCTCTGGTGACCGACAAGAATAGAGAGAGTCGCCTTAGATGGTTTAGTAACATTAATCGCTAACCATTTGATGACAGTGTTAGGAGAGTAAGGGTACACCTAAATAAAACACAATTGAGCAAAAGGATTCATGTAGCTGACCCCACTTAGTAGGATAAAAGATGTTATTGTTGATGTTGTGCTATTGAGTATAACTAAAGTGGTCCAATTTTATAAGATGGTTCTTTGCAAGGTTTAGGTATTTTAATTATGTAGATTGGAAAAGTGATCACCTATGCATACAAACAACTATAGTGGCACTAGAAGAGTTGTCTTACACATGACTAGTAATTAGAAGCTGGAACTTTTGCTCTTAAAAGATGGGGTGATGCGTGGACATTTTCACAATAATGAAATATGTCTTCATGTGCAAACTTAATTAAAGATAGAGAAAGTTCCTAGAGTTACTAAATAATTATGGCTTCCACAATCGTTGTCAACCCAAAAATTCCAATGTGATAGTCAATGCCTTAAGCATGAAGTTTGTTCTCATTAACTTAGGGAATCTCACAAGTAAACTAGTCATCACCCCTTGAGTAGATTAAGAAAGTGATAGCAAACCCAGAAAAAAGATCCATAATGTGTTACGTGGAAGGTGTTCTCTAAGAATTAAAAGTGAAAGGATTTTAAAGCGGATGATAAAAAAGTTCTACATTTCAAGGAACTATTCTATGTAAACAGCAACGAAACAAAAAAGGTCATTCTCCAAGAAACACATTAAACAAAGTACTAAATTCACATTATAGCTGAAAAAGAGTCGATGGTTAATGAAATTATATTGGTGGTCTTAATTCTTAACGCAAGAAGGATGCAACTAAGTTCATGAATTAGTGTTATTCCTGCCAAGTAGTGGAAGTTGGATAACCATGCAAAACTCTACTGCCTTTGTCTGTACCATGGAAGGGGGACAACATTGCAATGGTTTTTGTAACTAGATTACCAAGAATACTAAAGCACTACACAATATAAGTTGCAGAAGTTAAACTTAGAAAAAGGGCACATTTGTTGTCTGAGCATAAAGCACTAATCTTATATAAGCTAATCCATCTCTATGCACAAGATATTGTTCATTTACATGGTTTCCCCTGCATCATTGTTTCAAACGAGGATGGTCAATTAGCTTCTAAATCATTAAATCAATTCAAGAGGGCCCACACAATCAAATTAACTTCAGTGTTAAGTTTCATCCACAAGCTGATGAGCAATCAGAGCACATCATCCATATTCTATCAGATTTGTTCAAAATGTGTGCTTAGATTTTGGTAACATTTAGGAGAAAATCCAAACAAAAACAATTCAAAACTAGTTGAAATATTGAATCAAACAAAGTAGAGAGCACTATGAGGCATGCATTATAGCGTCCTATAGAAAAATAGCTGATGGGCGCATTGCTATAATGATTTTAAGAAAGATGTCGCTCACTCTGCTGCATGCATGATAAAGCATATCCACCAAACAATCACAAAAAATTCATACTCCATTTTCAAACGGTTAATAGTCATTGTGACATCTACAAGATAATACTTCCACCTAATGGAAAAAAATCCTTGCATGAAGATTCATACCCATAGAGGCACAAATCAGCCGGAAAGCCTGGCAACCACTCGTAGAGCAGGATAATTCCTCCTATAAAATGAGGTCACAAACTCGATCCCCATTCATCATAAAAGGCCGTTTGTATAAAATTAAAGTGAAGGGAATAAAAAATGACGACAATCTGAAACCGGAATTCGAATATGACCAAACGGGTGTTAAACTTTCAAGTCTCCACCCACGCCCACCCCGACACCCCCCCCTTCCGCCCAGATCTCTAGCATCAAAATAGAACAAAATAAAATAAAATAAAATAAACTCCAACTGTGCCACAGAAACTACAAAAAAATCCTGCAGTTTCTAATCCCCTGATACAAAGCATCTCTGCCCCAAAATACAGCAATCTACTGCAATGCCGGTGACACAGAAAAACAAGATTCCGACTACGAAAACAGCCAGAATCAAAAACAAATAAAATAGGTTAAAAATCGGACAACACAATTTCAAAGAAATAAAAACTAGGGTTTGCGCGCACGACTTTCCCGTGTTTTTTCTTCCTCTTACCTCAATTCGCAGTCCAATTTCACGAATCTCGAACTGGATAACACCGAACTCCTCTCTGATTACTCCTCCTTTAGAAAAGGATCTTATCTGATTTGCTTTTCTGATGAAGATGCAGAGGGCATGGATTTGGGCCAGCGAGACACTGTTGGCGAGGGATCATGGGTAGTGAAGGGTTAGGATTGGAGAACCTTCGAAGTTTGTTTGACGATCACAGCCGCCCATTTATTTATAGCTCTGCGCGGCCAGTGGACCATAACGGTACTTTCTACAGACTGGGCAGGGTCCCCCTCAGATTGTGGCCGACGCTGCCAGCCCGGTTGCGGCGGGGGGCGCGGGCCGATAAAAAGGGGCATCTAAATACAAACCGCCCAATTCCTACGTATTTGCAGATCTAATACTTAAATTTGACTTTTTTACTTTTATACCACTTATCATTCATATCACAATGCAAATATCATGCATATGTAATGTATGTAAAAATTAGAATTTAGGTGGTATGTAAATTAAAGGGCATTGATTGGTATGTATGAAAATTTATGAATATGAGGACTAAATTATAAAAAATAGTTATTTACATACATACCATACAATTCTTATGTATACGACAAACCTATCACTTAAACATTCGTATTTGCATACATATTACATTAGCACTCATTGTCACTATATTTCTAAAATGTAAAATATATATTTTGGTGCATAACGTGTGGTGTGTATGTAAAAGTTAAAATTTAGGTGTTATATTAGTAAATATGTAGAATTGAGTGCTTTTGGAAATTCAGTTCTTTTAATGGAACTCCAATAAGTTTAGGGATGACTTGTCGAATTTGAATTTTTTTTAGCAGAGTTTAAGTGAAGCAATTATGGTAAATACGCTAATTAGGTCGGTTCGAGACTTAATTGGCCAACTTCAAAAGTTTTACTCCAAATTTTAAAATGCAAAGTAGATTTTAAAAATTCAATTGCAAATGATAGTAGACATATCAAAGTTTTTTTTTTTTTTTTTGGAATTTTTTTGATTTTTTTTTTCCGAATTTGAAAATGATTTTACAGAAACCATAAACATTATAGAAAATAACATGGGTTTTTATTTTGAGATTGGATGTTGAACAAAGATACAATTTAAGACTTAAAATCTATATGAAAATTACTCAACAAAGGATGTAAATCAATTGTGAAAATTTTGGGATCTTTAAATGAGATTAAATCATTCAAATTTAGCCAAAATCCTTACTAGGTATGGTTAGGGTTAACCGTGACGACCTATGCAGGGGGAGATTAAGGTGGGATTTAAATGAGAACAAAAAGATAAAATTATTCAAGCACTCCTTACAAACACACAAAATTTCACTAAAGAGAAATCATATAAAATTGTACATCAAGGAGATGAAATAAATCCTAAACTCACCAAAGTTCAATGAGGGATGATGCTCGCTAAACCACACCCTTGGAGGAAGCCACCAAGTCACTCCTTAATTTGAGTTCTTCACTCAAAAGTCAATAATTTTCACATCAAATTCACGTTATGTTCCTCTTATCATACTTTTAAATAAAGTTCACAACATCTAATTAAATTCAAGCACACAAAAAGAGGGAGAAATGATGTTTTCCACCTCGGAACTACTTGAGAGCTACCTAAATCACCAATAACTACCTTCCTTTTTCACATGTGACCAACCATAATCACCTCATAACTATGTGTTCGGCCATTTCTTTACTCCACACTTACTTTGGTGCACTCAAGTTCACCTAAATACACTCCAAAGAGCACATAACAACTTGAATATTTAACATAAGATTCTACAAATAAATAAAATATAAAATAACTTAATAGACTCCACGAAAAACATACATATAAAAGTGACGTAATTCTTCATGCATTTCATTTTTTGATCATTTGACTTGGCTTGGTCTCTTGAATTAAGTCCTCTTATAGTTTGATTAACACAGTGTCACATCAATTCCTTTGGACCTTGAGAAACTCTTCTTTTGAAGAGTTATTTTGACCTACACTTGGCGGTGGAGTATCTGAAGGTGTAGGTTGCTTGTTATAAGATAACACTTGTGATGGTTTACCGCCTTCCAATGCTCAAGTGTTGTCTACTCTCAAAATTTGAGCTTGTTCTGCGCTATAATGCTTGATCATTTTTTGCAGCTCCTCATAATTTTTTTGCAGCTCCTCATAATTTTTTCTTTCATGAAATGAGGGTGGAGTTTACTAGTAATGGGAAAGAGATGTCTATGAAGGATATTTTAAACAAGTATTAAAGGCAAAAAAGTATAATCTTTTGATATTCTCACCAAAGTGCATCAACATGATCATAAGAAGATATCTGTGAACATTTTTATCTCACCAGTAAAATCACCAAATTTATAGCCTCAACTTACGATCACATGGAAAAGAAGACTCATTAAACCAATTTTTTAATCATGAATCTCAGGAATTTTTTGCTATAATACCAAATTGATGTTGCAAATTCACTTATTTATATGAAACTCTAGAGGGGTGTTTAAAATAATTTTTAGGATAATTCTAAAGAATTTGAAGGTATTTGGAAGGGTTTAAGTGGGGGAAATATGATAAATATACTAATTGGGTCAGTTTTCGACATAATTGACCAAGTTTAAGAATTTTTCTCCATATTTTAAAATACATGGGGGATCTTCAAGATTTTATTTAAAAACGATAGTACACTGATTAATGTCATTTTCTAAAAAAAATTTAAGATTTTTTTCATAATTTTAACTTGAATGTACATAAATTTGTAGCAAAATGGAAAATTAAATGGGGTTTTGAATTTGTCCTTGGGGTTTGAACAAAAACATCATTTAAAAGATAAAATATATATTGAAATTAATATACAGATGATGGAGATCAATTCTATTTTTTTTGGGAATTTTTAAATGGAATTAGATCACTTAAATTTAATGAAAATCCAAATTAAGTGGAGTTAGTGCTAACCCTAGACAACTTTTGTATGAATGATTAATGTGGGATTTAAATGAGAATAAAAAGGTACAAAACTATCAAAGCATGCCTTACAATCACCTACACCGTCTGATGAATTGCTCAAATCATCATGTGCGGTAAGCTCCATCAAAGGAGGGTAATAGTGGGTATTGCTCCTCTCCTTCGATTTGATCATCCATGTCAAGCTCATGAGAGCTAACCATAAAAAAACAAAGCACATAAAAAGTACTTCGTGCCTTCTTTCATTGATTCATCAAAACTACACAAGGCATCAGGAGGAACAGGCACCTTGCTTTGAGCTCACAATTGCATATGAAAAGAAAGAAAGTAAATCAATAGCAAAATCAGTAATAGAAGTGATCGTAATGGTTGCAATGACTTTGGTTGATCCTCTTCAAAGAGGCTTCTCCAAGTACGACTCCAGAATCTCGATCTCTCCAGCTCTATGGCAGACTTCAAGTCAATTATTGAACACATAGTATTCTTCCAAGAAATGGCACAAGTGCCTATGGTAGTGGCAGTAGTTGGGCCTACCGATCTTCTCAATTTCATTGGGTTTTCTTGGTTGAGAAAGTTGCATACCATGTTTGATCAAGTTTTAGAAAATCTTCATAAAACATTCTCTTCTGAAAGAGCATACTTTAAGCTTCTTTCACTCAGGAGACTAGGCTTTCCACTTCTAGAAAGGTGAGCCAGCTTGTTCAGAGAACATGACAAGCTTTTTCAGCTTACTATCCATTGTCATCAAAACTAAGCTATCTTCCGTCCTTCTCGAAGGACCCGCTATAAAAGACCTTTTACCTTTGGTCTTATAATCAGACAAGGACCAAAATCCCTATAGCATCTTGTAGGCTAACAAATTTTTATATCAACACTCCAAAAGTTTTTATAGGGGTGATTATAAGCAAGACAAAAATTGGGTCTTTGATCCTTCCATGAGGAGTGCAACAACATGTTGCTCCTGAAGGAATGGCTCACACTTCATACTCAAATATCTCCAATGAATAATAAAGTTCACTAAAGACTCGTTGGTCTTTTGTTGGGTTCATTTATAGATCACTCACGGTGACTGGTGTTGAGAGGCAGTGAAACGTTTCACAAACGCATCCTCTAACTCGGTGAACATTTTGAAGGCTTTTTTTTGGTTAATCGACATATCATTCAAAAACAAATACAACCAAAATAGTGACGAAAAAGCAAAGGAGAAAAACTTCATTGTTGTCGACGTTGCAACACAATGCTCAAATTTGGGTAATATGCCGTCGGGAATTTCTGACCCCATCAAATTGCTTGAACTGTTGAGGGACAAACCCCGAAGGATATATAATATACTCATACGCCTCAGAAAAAGGTCAGCCTCTCCTCACTACGACCTCTCATTTTTTAGTTGCTAAGGAGGCCTTAAACTTTGAATCCACTAAAGATTGCAAATGTGCATCCTAAAGTGCTCGCTCATGCTAAGAAGCATCAGAGGAAGTAGCAAAACTAGTATAGTATCACTAGTAATGGGAACAGAGGGTAGGGACAAAACTAGTATAGTATCACTAGTAATGGGAACAAAACTCGACTCTGGTGCATCCACATGAAGCTCTACATCTGGAGACTTTAGGGGCTCCAAAACAAGCTCAATGTTTTATACGACAGAGGGTAGGAACCCAGGCCTCGCAGTGGACCGATGGGTAGACCCCAGTCTCCTACTACGGGGAACTTGAGGGTGAGGAACGTAAAGGATTTGCTCCATGTCTTGCTTGAACGTCAGACGTTCACCATGAACTTCTCCCCGAAAATTGGGCCCTTTCCTTTTAAGGAGAAAACTGCCTCGTCAATCTTCTTTGTTAGAAGACTCATGGCAGAGCGATCAATTTAGATAGCGGGTTTAGGAAAGCCTGTGTCCCGAGGACGGGTACCCCCTGGCTATCCAGGCTAGGACGTCGTCTACATAGCCGGAAAAAAAAGTGAAAGGATTCTCAGTCATGGGAATCTGAGACTCCATCAGAGGTGAAATTGAAACAACACTATAAACTTACCGTTGGGACCATATCAACCTGTTCCTAGTCATACGGGCCCTCCCACCCATTATAGGAGTAAGAGAAGCCTTAGAGAGACTCGGGACAACATGGTTGGGTACCACAATAGGGACATGAGTAACGGCTCTCATGCCATTAGAAAGCATGGAGGAACGACCCGAAAATCTGGAAAAGAATGACGAGCACTGCGACACATTGTTGTCAGGCTCCGACCTTTTCTTCGCAAAAGGGGTGGTACGACATGAGCCACCATAGCGGGAGTAGCTTGATATGCACGACTCCATTTTTTAGGGGGAGTGTTGAGAGCAGATGCCTCAGCGAGCATGGGATTA